TTCCCGCGGAGCAGGGAGCCCGATGCGGGGCTCGATCCCAGGACCTGGAATCATGACCTGAGCCGAAGGCAGACGCTTAACGACTGAGCCACCCAGGCGCCCCTAGGAAATAGACTCTTAACTATAGAGAACAAACTAATGGTTACCAGAGGGGAGGTGGGTGGGGGGATGGGTGAAATATGTGATGGGGATTAAAGAGTACGCTTATCATGATGAGCACTGAGGAATGTATAGAATCGTTGAATCACTACATTGTACACCTGAAACCAGTATGACACTGTCTATTAACTATACCGTAGCTAAGATAAAAAGACTTCATAAATATATATATATGAGTATACTTATCTTGATGAACACTGAGAAATGTATAGAATCGTTAAATCATTATATTGTACATCTGAAACTAACATAACACTGTATGGTAATTATACTTGAATTAAAAAAAGTAAAAAAAAAAAACCAATGGCTGTTATAAAGACAATCAAGCATATGTGTCTGACTGAAGTATACAACACAACCATTCTTGCAAAATAAAAACAAAATTAAAAAATCTGAATCTGATGAAGACTCCAGATCTTAATATCAATTTACAAAACCAGAGATACATATTAAACACCACCACAGGGATGCAATTAGCAAAACTCATTATATCAGAAATTCTTAGGACTAACAACGTAGTTCCTTCAACAAACAAATTTCAATGAAAGTAAGAGGTAGGGACGCCTAGGTGGCTCAGTCGGTTAAGCGTCTGCCTTCGGCTCAGGTCATGATCCCAGGGTCCTGGGATCGAGCCCCGCATTTGGCTCCTTTCTCAGCGGGGAGCCTGTTTCTCCCTCTCCCTCTGCCGCTCCCCCTGCTTGTGCTCTCTCTGACAAATAAATAGATAAAATCTTAATGTCATTTTTTTAAGATTTTTTAAATTTATTTATTGAGAGAGATAGTGATAGAGCATGAGAGGGGGAAAGTCAAAGGGAGAGGCAGACTCCCCGCTGAGCAGGGAGCCCGATGCGGGACTCGATCCCGGGACTCCAGGATCATGACCTGAGCCAAAGGCAGTCGCTTAACCAACTG